AAGCAGGCCGAGTTCCCAGCGGCCCCTCTGCAAAGTGGGCACACGCGAAAAAGGAAATATTGTCCAGTGCTTAGCTAATACTTCACCTGCATTCTCCTGGGGACATGAGAGTGGAAAAAGCCATTCCCATCTCACAGATGAGGGCGTGACGCCTGGACAGGCGCGCACTTGTCCAGGGAGGGAAGAGGCTGGGGCTGGAGCCCAGGCCAGGGCAGCGCAGGCCAGCGCTCAGCTCCGACCACCACCGACCAGGCTGGGAGGGCAGGGAGGGCGGGCGTGGGCCAGGCGTCCCAGGTGGGAAGCTGCTGCCTCAGGGCTCTCTGATGCGAGGCAGCGCTGAGCCACACCTTCCCCACCCGCCCTGAAGCATGGCCTCCCCGGCGCTGTGGACCGTGTTCCTGGGCAAGGTGCGGCAGAACTCGCGCTGGCCGGGCGAGGTGTCCTTCAAGGTGAGCCGCCTGGTCCTGCATCCGTACCACGAGGAGGACAGCCACGACTACGACGTGGCCCTGCTGCAGCTCGACCACCCGGTGGTGCGCTCCGCCACCGTGCGCCCCGTCTGCCTGCCCGCGCGCTCCCACTTCTTCGAGCCCGGCCTGCACTGCTGGATCACCGGCTGGGGCGCCCTGCGCGAGGGGGGTGAGCAGGGACCCGCGGTGGGCGGGGCACGGGGTGAGGGTAGGTCTCCCGCCCCATTGGGGCCTGAAGGAGGGCGGAGCAGGTGCCCCAGGGCCCCGCCCCCAGGCCTCCAGGTCTGGGGTTCAGCCAGGCTGGATTTTCATCATTTAATATGACGGGGCCTTGCCCTTCCCTTTGGAAAGGCTTTTAAGGAAAAGCTAGGTCACGGGCGTCTGTGTGGGCGAAGGAGTAGGCCGGGATGCCACGCCTCCTGCGCAAATCCTGGGGGCAGGGCATGTCGGGGAGGTTCTTAATGTTTAGCATTTCCCACTTGTAGACTGAATTTGGGGGGCGTGTGATTTCATACAGTCCACCCCATTCAGGGGAGGGTGCAATGGCTCCATTTTAGGAATGAGGAAACTGAGGCCCAGAGTCACTTAGCAGTTGCTCGAAATCACCTGGCCAGAGGGGATTGCAGATTAGAACCCAGGACTGCCCGCCTCCAGGGCCCTGGTTCTTCCTGCCGCTCTCGGAAGTGGGCTTCTCCCCTCCCGACCTCAGTGAGGGGAGCTGGCCCCCTCTGGAGCCCCTCGGTTTTGTGTACAGAGGCTCAGCGGGCATAGCCACAGCCTTGCCCTCATTTGGTGGTGCTGGCTGCAAAATGTCTACAATGATTGACGGCATGGAGGCAGGAGGGAGGGAGGGTGCCCCCGCCCCCGCCCCCGCGGTGCTAGGGATGGAACCCAGGGCCTCACACATTCTAGGCAAGAGTTCTACCACGAAGCCACATCCCCGGGCCCCTAGAAATATTTTAAAGATGAGGAAACTGAGGCTCAGGTGAAAAGTCACGTGTCCAAGCTGCTCACAGAACAGTGGCAAAGTTAGGCTTGGTTCACTGATTTGTTCAAGCAACGACATAGATGAGCACCTACTACACACCAGGCATCAAGCTGGGCACAGGGGTCGAAACTGAAAGCACGTTCTTGGAGGAGGGGTGGTGTGGCTGACATGGACGTGGAGGTGCAGGGTGGGAGGGCTGGGGCCTGGAGGAGTGGTCAGCAGCGTCCAGGGGAACTGGAGGTGTTCTCAGTGAAGGCGCAGGTGTCAGGCTGGAAGACTGTGGGACAGACCAGTAACCAGCCAGGGGGATGGGGTGGGGGGCAGGCAGTGTGACCGGGCAAGGGCTGTGGGGGGACAGCCGGGGTTTGCAGGCCACTGTGGGAATCTTGGGCCACTGGCTCCTCAAATGCATTTCACAACCACCTGGGGGCGTCAAAACCCCAACACTTGGGCCCTGCCCTAGACGAATGAGACCAAGTCGCTGAGGACTCCAGTGCTTGTCAGGGATCCCAGGAGATCGGGACAGCCCTCCTGGAGAGGTTCTGGGCTGGGAAGGGCTCGCCTGGGTGGGTGCTTAGAAGCCCCACCAGGGGGCGCAACAGAGCAGGGCCAGGAGGCACTTGATGGGGGTGGGGGGGACGGGAAGCTGGGGAAGACACTAGTCCAGACAGGCTTGGGGGCTTAGCCCCGCAGAGGAGCTAGAACGAGGGGACGGCAGAGCAGCTGGGTGCAAGGAGATGGTCGAAGGTGAATGGGGCTTCTGGGCACTCACATCTCTCCCCCACCCTTGGCCCCTTGGCAGGCCCCACCAGCAACGTCCTGCAGAAGGTGGACGTGCAGCTGGTCCCGCAGGACCTGTGCGGCGAGGCCTACCACTACCAGGTGACACCCCGCATGCTGTGCGCCGGCTACCGCAAAGGCCAGAAGGACGCCTGCCAGGTGACTCCCGGCCCGTGGGCAAGAGGCAGGAGGGTGATGCTCATGTCACCCGCCATTTGCCACCTGCCACCCAGGTCATGGCCCTTCACGCACATCAGCCTGCTGGGGCCTCAGAGCCTCCCAGCAAAGATGGCTGTCCCCACCTCATAGATGAGGAGACCGAGGCCCAGGAGGCTGCCCCTGCCCGCCAAAAGGCTGGGGCCCGGGTGGTACAGTGGACACTAGGAGGCTGGGAGGGTGGGGTGAGGGATGAGGACTCAGCCACATTCCCACGACAGGCAGGACCCCACGGAGGCCAGGCAGGGCCGGACTGTCCCCAACAGTTTCCAAAGGAATGTGACTTCCTATCACCTAGCAAATCCTTACCCTGATGCAGCCCGCCTCCTCTCTCCCCCTCAGGGTGACTCTGGTGGTCCCCTGGTTTGCAAGGAGCTCAGTGGCCGCTGGTTCCTGGCAGGACTGGTCAGCTGGGGCCTGGGCTGTGGCCGGCCCAACTACTTCGGCGTCTACACTCGGATCACAGGAGTGATTGGCTGGATCCAGCAGGCACTGGCCTGAGGGGCTGCTGTGTGCCCAGTGGGGGCCATCTCCTGCCTAGGACAGAACCCAGGGCGCCCCCTGGACAAGGTGACGAGTATTCTGGGGGTGAAGAGATGGCCTCCTGCCCCCTTGTGGAGGGCCCAGGCCCTTCACTTTGATCCGTGTCCTCTCCTCACTGTGGACTTGGCGGGGAGGGGCTCAGCAGCCAAGATCTGGCTCCTAGGTCCCTGGTAGGAGTATGAGACCCCACCCCACCCCAGGCAGAGGCCACCTGGGCGACACTGGTTCCACAGGACAGATTCAGCTGAGAAGCTTCTGGTGTCCCTTGGGGGTGAGGGTAGAAAGTGCCTGGTTGGAGGGGGCCCTCAGAGACTGGGAGACTGCCAAGTGGGACAGCAGCCACCATAAGCCAAAGGGTGGGGCAGCCCCAGCTGCAGGGCCCTGAGCCACCTGCCTGCCACTGGGGCTTCCCAGCCAGACCCAACCCCCTGCGAATAAAGCACTGGCTGGCCTCTTGGCCGACTGTCGGAGTCCTGCTTCCTGTGCAGCCTGCCTGTCAGGTGTCCAGAGGGCCACCGGGGGGACAGTGGAGGCCACCTGCCCAAGCCCTGCGAGAAACCCCCGGGGAGCCAATCGGAGGCCGGATAAGGACAGAAGGGCTCCTTCTAGAACCTGAGGGGAAAACCAGAAGACCAGGGGGGAGAGGACGTCCCCACTACAGGGCGGAGCGGAGCCTGGAGCCTGTCCTCGGCCTGCCCCTCCCTGCGGCCCTGAGGACACCTGTCACGTGTTCCTCCTGCGTCAGGCTCCTCCTGAGACCACAGATCCCCTCACAGTGGGGACGGAGTGTGGCAGGGGAAGCTGGGACTCTGGAGGCCAGGCAGCTGGCCTGAGGGGGTGAGGAGCGGGGCTCTGGGGCTCCGAGTGGCCAGGGCAGGGCTGGGCCTCCCAGGGCAGGGAGGGGCACCGGGCAGGGCCAGTGCGCCAGGGAAGGGAAGCTGTGGGCCAGCCGGGCTGAGGGGAGCCCGAAGGGGTCAGAAGCGAAGGGCTGGCCCAGGAAGCACTGACCGGGGCCTGACCTGCCCCCTCAGAACTGGTCAGCAGAGCAGCGGGAGGCTCCAGGGCAGGAGACACCATAAGGCAGAACCTCCAGAGGAGCCCAGGGTGGAAAGCAGGGGCCGGGATGGGCAGGGCAGTGGGGATGGGTGCGGGTCACCGGTGTGCCCTGGGGCAGTAGTCAGGAGCCCAGAGGCCGGCTGGGGCTGTGTCAGCACAGAGAACTCTCCGGAAGCTTGGAACTAGAAGGGGAAGTGGGGGGGTGTCCATGGTGGGCGAGGCCACGGGAGGGGGTCGTCGTGCGGAGCCTCTGCTGGGTGGGTGTGCAGGGGCCAAGCCTCTCCGGCTCCGGGGTGAACAGGACAGCAGGACTCTCCACGGGTGCTCTGCTAAAAGGCCAGTTCCTGGTTGGCCACTGTCTCGATCCAAAGCCCAGGGCGAGGAGGGCCTGATGCTCTTTGAAAAGCCCCCACGTGACTCTCAAAAACTGGACACAAAAAGGGAGCTCACCTTCAGAAGTGTGTGTCCCTGGGGGACGTGTTGACATCCTCCAGCCTGTGGAGCCCTGGCCTGGAATGGCCTCTGCCCAGGGGTCACTGCTCTACAAGGGGCGGGGACTTGGCAGGATGAGGGAGTGGAAGAAGCTGGCGGGCAGGAGAGGAGCCGAGGGCCAGAGCCTCGAGGAGGTGGGCAGCAGGCCCGGTGTCCACGCTTCCCAGGGCCTTGGGGTCAGGGCTGGTGGCAGCAAGGAGGGGACCCAAAGGTGGCAGGCCAGGGGAGTCAGGGGCAGAGGGGCTGCCTGGGGACCTGTGTGCACGTGGGGCATGGGAGGTGTTGAAGGCCCTGGGCAGAGGACCTCGCCGTCCCCCACCCGTCCTCCACCACACAGTGAGTGACAGAGGCGTGGGCCTGGCCTTTCGGGAAAGCCTCTTCCTCTCAGTTGGTCCACAGCTCCTGAGTTCAGCCCCATCCCCAAGAGTGGCCCAAGGGAAAGGGAGCCACAGGCCGGGCTGTTTCTTCAGGTTTTATTCCACGGCGGCGGCGGGCGCAGCTGAGGCCAGTGCCCATCCCAGGCAGTCACAGTGCAGAGGGGCCCCTCGCTCAGCCCCATCACACCCAGACCCTGCCTTGGGCAGAGGGAGGAACGTCCCCCTTCCCTTCTCCCTGCGTAGCCACTTGGGCCCCGTGCAGGACAGGGCCCTGCAGCAGCACACGGTGGGCGCGACATGGCCCAGGCGAAGGCCAAACTGCCTGCCCCTTCCTTCTGACAGGGCCAACCCCGCACCCGTCACCCTCACTACCTGAATCTCCATGGTGCATGTCATGCTTGGGGCTGGCCAGGCCCTCCCAGCCAAGGGGGTGAGGGAGAGCAGCCCTGGCTCTTAGGGTCCCCGGGGACCTTGTCCTCTCTGCACCCCACAACCACCCTGTGTGGGAGGTTCCCCACTGGGCCCCCAGGAGGCTGCGGCTCAAGGAGGTGATGTGATGGGGCCAGGAGGGAGCACAGTCACCGTGCCACAGGGGCCCCTGGAGGAGGAGGGGACAGAGGGTGCTGGGAGACACAGCTGGGCAGCGCCACACCGAGGCCATGGGCAGGTGGCTCTACCCAGGGGTCCCAGGACCCACCTCAGGCCTTGGGAGGTCCCAGTGGGTCCCTGCCTGGGCCCTGGAGGCAGAGGGAAGTCACAGCCCTGGAGGTGCAGGCAGAAGTGGCAGGGGACAGAGTGCGTCTTCCTTCCCGGGCCCGGGGCCCACCCCATGGTACAAAAATAAAGGATTTCAGATGGGAACCCCAAGTCCCTGCAGGTGATCTGGGGCCTCACATCCGGGTGTCTCTGGCTTGTAATAGCTAGAAAATAAGAGGGGGGAGGGCAGGAGGATGGGAGGTGGGGGCAAAAACCAGGGTGGGGTGGGGGTGCGAGGAGGGGTGCGCAGACAGGGAGAGGGCGAGAGGGAGGCGGGGTGGGGAAGGGGGGAGAGAGAGAGGCGAGTGAGTGGCGGCTGCTTCTGGAAGAGAGGAGGCCCAGGCCCAGAGTGAGTCAGAACCGGGAGGAAGCAGGGAGGGCGGCGCCGGGCCAGGTGGTGGCGGGTGGGGGGGGGGGGCCAGGCGGAGGGCGGGGACGGGACGGGGCTGGGAGGCACAGGTCACTGCTGTCCCAGGTGAAAGGAGGAGGAGGGAGCGGCCGCCTGTCCCCATTTTATAAGCCCAGAGAGGGACAGCAACTTGCCCAGGTCACAAGCACACAGATGAGACTACGTGGGGACAGCGACCCCTGACCAGGGTGTGGCTGCCAGGCTCTGCTGCCTCTGCTGGCTCCTCATTGGCCAAGTGCCGCATACGGCCTGGCTTCTGTCCCCACCCCAGAAACAGGACACTGTGCTACACGGTGACGCCGGAGCTCCTGGCCATGTGGGGGCGAGGCCCAGGCCTGTGGCTTCAGCTGTCCTTCCCTCCCCCGCCTGGCCTGGTGCTGCCCACAGGAGGGTGGGCGGTCCCCACACCCTAACCTCCTCCTGCTCTGGAGCCTCACCCAAGGCTGGGGCAGGCTGGGAAGCTGGTGGGTGGGGAAGGTCAGCAGAAAGCTCGGCTCAAGTCCAAGGACAGGACAGGAGGCCCTCCTAGCTTCCACCCCTCCCTCCAGCTCCGCCAAGCTACAAACCAGGGATGGCAGCTCTGGGGGCGGGCGAGGGGCCAAGGAGAAGCCCTCACTGCCAGCTCAGCCTCGGGTCTGAGGGGGCGCAGACGGGAACCTGCAAGGAGGAAACGTGAGGGGCGAGGAAGCGGCAGGGCAGGGCCGGGCAGGGCCGGGCCTGCGCCAGCCTCAGAGGTGCCCAGCGGGGCCGGCCGGCACAGAGGCAGCCACGCTGCGCCCCTCCTCCCCAGGCTGGGGGGCAGGAGGTGCCAGGAGGGGCGAGGGGGACGGCAGGCGGGACGCTCTGGGACGCAGGGCCAGGGGACCCGGGGGGAGGGCACGGGAGGCCGGGGCCAGGTCGGCCCCAGGGTGGAGGCGCGAGCAGGCGGAGAGGAGACCCGCGCAGGGGCAGAGGGGGAGGAGGCAGGGAGCAGATGAGATCCAGGAGGAGGAGGTGGATGGAGATGAGGCAGGACCTCCAGTGGGAAGCAGAGGAGGAGGCGGCGGTGAGAGGGAGGGAAGGTGAGCGGGATCCTGGGGTGACTGGGCTGCAGAGAGAGCGAGAGAAGGGCGTCACGGCCAGGCCAGCAGCTGAGCTAACCCTGCGCCCGGCCGCCCGGCAGCGGCTGGAGGGAGGGCGGAGGCTCCCAGGTCTGGTTAGCGGCCATCCTCCTGGGGGCGGGCTGCACCTTTCTCCTGTGTATCTGCCTCCACCTGCACCTGGGCCACCTGCACCTCCTCCACCTCCTCCTCCTGCTGCCGCTGCTCCTCCAGCTGCTCCTCCGCGCTCTGTGAACCAGCCGGTGACCCAGGGAAGAAAGAGCGTAGACACTAACGAGGGGGCCAGGCGGGCTGCAGCTGTCCCCGTGGACCCCTACCTCGGGCGGAGGGTGGGCAGAGTGAGGGGCATCTCAGGAGAGAGGGCTGCAGCCACAGAGGCTGCGCCATCGTCTCCAGTCCCCCGGGAAGCGTGGGGTCGGCCTGGCTGCTGGCTCCGAGTGCAGCTGGGACGCGGGCAGTGGGGACCCGTGGGTGGGAGCGGGGTGTCTGCAGGGTGCCTGGAAAAGCCTTGCTTAGGAGGGGACCAGAGTAGGAGGCCTGGGAGGCCCCTGGGCAGCACCGACCAGATCAGGGAGGCCGGCAACTACTGGTGGCACCCCAGGCCCGGGGCGCCAGCCTGTGGGTGGGTGAGGTGGGCAGAGGAGTCACAGCAGGACAGGGCGGCAGACAGACAGACAAGAAGCCAGAGCTCAGTCTCCACTGCACAGGACAGGTCCCAGAAGGAACGCTCCCTCCTCCTTCCCGGCCTGGCTTGTGTCGGCTCTGCCAGCCCCACCAGGGCCCGTGGGATTTCCCACCAGCTTGGCTCCGGGCCCGGGACCCCCACTCCAGCCCTCCCCACACAGCACCAGGCTGCCAGGTGCGCCTGCGGAAGGCCACCTCCTGCCAGGGTGGAGCAGGGCTGGTGCCCATGGGGCTCCCAGAGCCCCTGGTGCAGAGCGCCCAGCAGGAGGCCTTGGTGAGGGCAGGGCTGTTGGACTTGGCTCCCCTGTCCTGGCCTAGGCTGGCTGGACATCAGCCCTGGGCAATAAGCTGGCCATCTGGGTTCCCAGGAGTTCCAAGCATGAGGCAGCGAGAGCAAGTGGCCTGTCCCTCACCTCACAGAGAACACAGCAAAGGTGCTGAGAGGGGACGGCACTTCTCCAAGGTTGCACGGACACATACCATGCCCTGAGCCCTCGGTTCAACTCTGCCTCACGCCCCAACACCTGTGGCATCGTGTCGCCCTGGCTGTGCCCTTGGACGGTCCCTTTGCACTACTCCCAGCCTGGGCCTGGGTAACGGGTGTGAGCAGACGTGTCCATGGCATGGGATGGATGGCATGGGCTGGACCATGGGGTTATGGAAGTGCAGCAGGAGGCAGGGAGCAGCAGGGATGGCGGGAGGGCGGGGGCAGGAGGCGCCACCTTGGTGCAGGGCCGCGGCTCACCTTCGCTTTACGGCTGGCCTCGGAGCCCGGGCCATGCGGGGAGCTGTGCAGCTCCTTGGACACCACGCACAGGAACTCGGCCTGGTCCTCGCTGCCGTAGTTGTAGGAGGAGCCGATGTTCACCAGCTGCCGGGAAGAGCGGCGTGGGTCGCACCCCCAGGCCCCACCTCAGCCTCCTTGCCAGCCTGGCTTTCCAGAGGGACCTGGGCAGGAAGCTGGGGATCTCCTCCCACCTGTGCCCCTCCCGACTTGGCTGAACCTGACCCTGGAGGAGGGTGGTGGTGTCACCCCACCCCCAGCCCAGCCCACATCCAGGCATCCAGTTCCAAAAGCAGGTGGAGGCCTGTGAAGCGTGCTGTCCCCCGATCCCACAGTGGCTGCAGCAGCCCCAGGACGAGGCTGGGTGGGACCCGCACAGCAAGCGCCACAGAACAGCCCCTTCCCTCTTGGAAGTCCCGAGAACCTGCGCAGCTGCCAGGCTCTTGGAGGCTGCCTTGGCTTAGGGTCCCTAGAATCCACACACCCCCTTCTGGCCGACGAAGTCCTTGCACTGACGGGTCTCCTTCAGCTCTCGGGGACCCCCATTCAGAAGGCAGAGAAACTTATCAGCCCACCCACAGCTGGGAAGGGGTGGGGCAGGGTTAGGACCTGGGGCCCCCTGGCATCCTGTCTTGGGGCCCAACAGAACTAAGCAGCATCCTTCTAGCAGCTGGCGTGATGCCAGAGCCTATGGGAGGTCCCGGCCAGGGCCAGGAACCTTACTGGTGGCCTAATTTTCACGACAGTTCTGAGACGAGGAGCCATTTGCCCACCTCCCCGAGGACACTGAGGAGAGGAGCTAGGCGTGGCCAGGGTCAGAGCGTGTCATGGCGGGAGGACAGGGGGGAGCCAGCGTGGCTCCTGGGCTGGGGTCGTTCCTCACTGTCCAGCCTTCCTGGTCTTCGGTCTCGGGCAGCGCTGCTCTGGGGGTGTGGGCATGGGATGGATGGCATGGGCCGGACCATGGGGTTATGGAAGTGCAGCAGGAGGGAGGGAGCCCCTAGAGCAATCACTTTCTGGACTCTGTTCTCTGAAGACCCGAGCGGTGGACACCAGCCGCTCGTCTTACCAGAGCACACTGCTGGGGACAAAATCTCCCCACTGGATGGGAGGCATCAAAGGCACCATGACTATCCCTGGGGACCCCCCGTGGGGCTTCCCTGAAGGGAGTGACGCCTGTGACCCGGCCTGTCCCCTACAGGGCCCTGGAATCTGTGCCTGTGGATCTGTCCCAGGAGGTGTGGCCAGGCTCCCTGCACCGGAGCTGCAGCTCGGGCCACAGACTTGCTCACACTGCGGCTCGGCCATCACCTGCTGCCCCAGGACTGATATGGACACCTAGGGGGGCTGAGGCAGTGCCTCCCGCCCGCCCCTCGGCCACTCTGTGCCCTGGGCAGCTTTTCCTAGTCTTGTTGACTTCGAAGATCCCCAGGTGGGGCTGAGGCGGGGGACACAGGGCTGGCTGTAGGAAGAGAGGGCCCCTCGCTGGCAGCCGGGGGCTCCTGCTGCCCCCACCCGGCACCCATGCACCCTGCCCACCTGCTCAAAGCGCCAGCCGTCAGACATGGTGGACACCATCTGCGTGAGCTCCTCCTCCTGGCACTGCAGCACGCGGTACACGTGCTTGGGCGGCACCTGTGGGCAGAGACCCCATGGACGGCACCTGGGGACGCACCCCCACGCCCCCCAGGCATGTGCCCTTGAAGGCAGGTGGGGGAGGAGAGGTGGAGGGAGCCGCACCTGGGCACCTACTGTGTGCCAGGGGCTCAACACGCGTGATCTCGCCCACTCTTCTGCCACCCCCTGCTCAGTCCCAGGTCACCCGACTCGAGGGTGGCAGAGCCAGCACTTGAGCACAGAGATCACGAGAGGGAAGGCGGGCAGCGCATGGGGGACATTCTGGGTCATCAAATGAGCCAGACCCCCTAGGACACACAGCCTCCCCACCTCAGTCTCTGGGGCTGGGAGGTGGCCCCTCGCCACAACTCCTGCAGACCAGTTACTGGGGCCTGGGGTCCAAGCTCAGAAATGCCAGCCCCAGCAGCCAGGATGTGTTCACGGAGGACCGCCTGACCCAAGTGGCACGGGCTGACCTGCCTGGCCCCCTGCAGGCCCCAGACCTTCACATCAAGTCCCCTCTACCTGTGGGGACAACACTTGGCGCTAAATTCCACAGGAGGAAATTAAGGCCCAGAGAGGGATGTGACTGGCCTAAGGTCACACAGAAAAAAAGCCAAGCAAGGCAGGGACAGAACCCAGCCTGGGGCTGTGTCTGTCCCCCACCCAGGCTGCTCTGCCTCTCCCAGCCCCTCCTCCACCCAGCCCTGCTTCCCACCTGGGTCACGGTGTAGTCCTTCTCCTCCATCCGGTCCTTGATGATGCGGATGAGCGGGCCGATGTTGTAGAACTCCGCCTCCTCCAGCACGCCTGGCAAGAGCAGCGGTCACTCCTGCTGCCCACGCCCCGTCCTCCCTCGTCCCCCCGCCCCAAACCCACCTCCTGCTCTGGGCACACTCCCTGCTAGGTGGGCCACACATGCTAGGGCCAGGCCCTGTGCTCAGGTGACATCCTTCATGGCACTGAAGTCTCAGACCAGAAGTGAGTACTCATCGCCTCCACTGAGCACAGGGGAAACTGAGGCTCCCAAACAGGAGCGACTTGTCAAGGCCACAGCCAGTGAGCTCGGTCCCTCCAGCGCTCAGCCCCGAGGGCTCTGTCCACACTGTAAGGGAGCGTGCTTCTATAAGTGCCCCCAACTGCCATCCTTCACAGTCTGCAAAGCCCCCATGTGCACCTCGCAGTGCTGGGGACATGAGAAAAGCAGGCACCACTGTCCCCACTTTACAGTTAAGGTACTTGGAGGGACTACGCAAGCCACTCCCCACCCGGCCCAGGGAAGTTGACGGAGCGCCCAGGGGCTGGACCTCCCTAAGGTCCTGCAGAGCAGGTCACCTCTGGTCCTTTCTTTGGCCTCTGGGATCCCTGGGGACAGACAAGAAGTCGGCTATCTGCAACCTGGAAGAGGGCCCTCGACAGACCCCGACACGATGGCACCCCGATTAAAAAATCCCAGCCTCTGGAACTGTGAGGAATGCGTGTCTGCGATTTAGGAACACCAGGCCTCAGCACCCAGGCCTCAGTACCAGGCCTCAGCACCCAGGCTCAGTACCAGGCCTCAGCACCCAGGCTCAGCACTCAACATACGATTCCAAATGCCCAACCCACCCTGCTGTCTTCAGGCCCTAACAGAGACGTGGTCAGTAACTGTTGTGTGACAGTCCCCCAGCCATGTCCTGGTGGGGCAGACATCTGACCCTGCATTGCGCAGCCTCAAGGCCAGCTGCTGCGCCCCCTCTACCACGGCCCGAAGAGGCCAATGTGGCTGCGGCCCCCTCTCACCAGTGGGGGCGCGGAGGCACAGGGAGCTCAGTAAGGTTCCCAAGGTCACAAAGCTAGACAGTTCTCTCAGATCCATCCCCAGCCCCTGTCTGAAGGTGCTGGAACCACACAGCTCAAAGAACCCAGGAACCTGTCAATAGGTGCTGGCTGTGACGCAGCTGTAGCGCTCACCTCCCCTCTCTGGGGACAGGCCACGCCCAGGGTGTCTGCTCCCCGGGGCTGGGGCTGGGGCCAGGTCCCTGCAGCAGTTCTGAGGCTGAAGCCCTGCTCTGTGGGAGCCATTAGCCTGCAGATCACTGGATGCCACAGGGGTCAGCAAGGGGAGATGGTGGCCCAAAGTGGAGAGGGACGGGCTGACCCAGGGCCCACAGGTATAGGACTCATGGCAACCAAAGCCCAATACCGCTCTCCAGAATATAGGTCACCATCCTTATTTTAGAGACACCCATGGAGAAGGGGGCCCAGCTGGTGAGCTGGCCAGAGCTACACCCTGTGCCCCAAGGAAAGTGGACCTGGCACCGACCGCAGCTGCTGCTCCTGGCTAGCACCTTCTAAGTGACCATTCTCCAGACACGGCTTCCCCACTGTCTGTTAGGCCCCGACGTGGGCCTGTATAGGGGCCTGCTGCCAAGCCCTGGGAGGGGCCAAGCCCTGCCAAGGAGCAGCAGCCACCCCTGCCTCCGCCCACAGCCGGCTCCAGTCCTCACCAGGCCCACCCGGCGATGGCGACACCCGATGCCCAGCCAAAGAAGGCGCAGCTCTTCCCATTGCCATCCCCACCCTTCCCCCACCCCAGACTCTGCCCACACCTGGCTTCCCAGGAGGCCAGGGCGGAAGGGCACCCCTGCCAGGAAACAGGCCTCCGGCCTCACGGGCCTCCTCTATCTCCTGAGTGTGTCTCCATCACTCCCTGGCGTCACCCAGGAAAGCGTCACCCGGGAAAGCCCGGGCCCATCAGCCTGAGGGAGACCCTGGGAACCAGCCGGGGAACACAGCAGGAGGCAGGTGCCCACTGCAGCTGGAAAACAGGGCTTTGGGCCTCTGCGGAGGCCATGGCAGGCAGGCTGCAGAGGGCAGGGCCAGGACATGGGCCCCAGGCCAGTCCCCTGGACCAACTCACCCTCCTCAGCCATGTCCTTGTCCAGCACCAGCTTGCCATGCCGGAGGAAGTTCAGGATGGGCCCAAAGTAGGTGGGGTCACGGTCAATGAGGTAGGCCCCCGTCTCATCCTGTGGAGGAGAAGGCACAGAGTGAGAAGAGTGAGGCTGTCCCCTGCCCATCTGGCACATCAGCTCTCACTAAAGGCCAGGGAAAGGACTGCGGGGAGCAGGAGAGAGAGTGATATGATGTGTAATAAAGCCTGAGGGTCAGACGGACCTGGGTTCGAATCCTGCCTCTGCCTTTTCCAGACTGTGTGACCTTGGACCAACAATTTGACCTCTCTGAGCCTCTTTACCCTACCCCGTAACTATGGGTCACCATGAGCACACAGGGAGAGAGGTCTGAGTGGCACCTGGCCCAGTGAATGTCTTTCTTAGAGGGCCCCCTGTTCACCAGGTCCCTTGTCTTTCAGGGGATGTTTACAAGTTCCTAAAGGAGCGGCCCTCCCATTGGACACTTGCAGCCTGCAGGGAGGCAGGACGGGCATCAGGACAACTCTAGAGAGGTTAGGGGACTGGCCCAAGGTCACAGCATCAGAGTGTCACAGAACCGGGACAGGGAACCTGAGAGATCATCTCCAGACCAGCACCTCTGGTTACAGAGGAGCCCAGAACATGGAAGGGTCTCGCCCAAGGTCATGTTGGCGGTTTGCAGCAGAGCTCAGTGGGAGCCCAGGCATGGTGCCCTCTGGGCCAGCCTCCTCCCAGCTGAGAAAGCACCCCAGGACTCCTGTGCCGGGCTCCCGGCCCCCCCCCCCCCCGCGCCACCCACACCGGGAAGGAAGGTGTGGGCAACTCCGCGCCCAGTGCGGGAGCCCTGCATGGAGAGCAGCCCTCCCTGCCGGCGCCTCCCCGCACTCCCGAGGGGACAGCCCCCACCCAGGGCCGAGCTCCAGGCTCCAAATGGCCGCGGCCTGCGTCGTCCCGTTGCCACGGCAATGGGCACACCGCTCGCTCTCGGCTCCACTTCCTCCCCACGGCTGCCAGTCCCTCCCGCCTCCAGCTCCGCGGAAAGCAGCCCATCCGGGCCCCACGCTGGCGGCCGGGTCGGGTCGGAAAGCGGGTGCGGGTGCGGGTGCGGGGAGCGGGGACGGGGAGCGGGGACCCAGCCCGCCCGCGCGCGGGCTCACCCGGTCCGACTGCAGCTCTTCGCCCTGGCACAGGCGGCTGAGGAAGGACTTCTGCTCGCGGCACAGCGTCTGCCGGGTGGTCAGGAACACCGTGCCCCCCACGTTGAGCCGCACCCACTTGCCCCAGCCGCCCGCGGCGCGACCGCCCGCCCCCGCCGCCGCTGCCTCCCGGGCCTCCATCCTCATCGCTCGCCGCGGTCTGCAGCCTCCGCTCGGCGCCAGCGGCCCCGCGCAGAGCTTGCCGGGAGTTGTAGTCCGCGCCGCCGGGCCGCCGCGCCCCGCCCACAGGCCCGCCGCGCCCCGCCCACAGGCCCCGGGAAGTCCTTGGACCACATTTCTGTTTAGGGATGTCAGGTCCTGGACCCTGGGGAAAAATTGACACCCCAAGCAAACAACCTCCCATTTGTTCCCCTTTTTATTGCCTTTTTCTTTGTGCAGTCCCGGCTCTCAAAGAGCTGACAGAAGAAACTTCTCCCTGGAATTCCTGTGACATTTACCGTATTTCCTAATATGTGTGTGTAGGGGGAACACTGGGGTGGGACCCAGGGTCCCCCACGTGCTAAGCAAGGCCCTTCAACGGAGCCGCACCCCCAGCCCAGTTCTAGTAGTGGAGGGTGGGCTCTTCCCTCCGCAGAAGCTCTTCAAGCTCAGCATAGTTGGACTTGAGGTTGGTCGAGCGCCTTCTGTTCGCCAGGTGCTTTGGGTGCACATATGTATCATTCATTAATCTCTTGATCACTATGCTCATTTTACACATGGGGCCACAGAGGTGAAGTGACCGTGGACTCACGCAGCTCGTGAGTGGCAGGCCAGCCCAGCCCGGTGGGTTCCAGGTGCATGGCCACCACTGAGAACCCCCTCTCCTGTGTGTCTGCTGTGAGTGGCAGTGATCTCTGGAAAAGATTCCCAGGGAGGAGGAGTAGAGCTCTATCTAGATCAAAGCCAGTTTGAATTCTGGCTTTTGTAGGCTGCCTTGGGAGAGGTCCCAGCGGTGGATAAAGAGAAGTTGAACTGAGTGCCCTTGTTCTGGTCTGGAGCCAGGTCAAGGTGACTCCAGGAAGGAGGAAGGCAGGATAGGGGGAGAGAGAGGTTTGGGGAGCCAGCAGGGGGAGGAGGAGGTGCTGGCCACTGTTCCTGATTGATGCTCAGAAGAGCAGCTTGGGCTATTGAGAACAGGGGACTGTCTGCAGCCTTGGGAGTGGAGGAGACCCCTTCCCCAAAGAGCATGTGAAAAGTCCCAGAGAGAGGGGCCCAGGGAAGGGCTCAGGGGTCGGGAAGGGGGGTCCAGTGGGGGAAGAGAAAAGAGCAACGTCTGGAGGAGGGGGAACCAGAGCACTCCAAGAGACCAGTGGTGGGTCAGTGTGAAACAGTCCACTGGAGGCGTGAAAGTTGGGAAGGTCAAGTTCAGGGTCCCAGGGCCATAGGAAGCCAGGCTTGTCTACTGAAGGCTCCTCCCACTCCCCTCCTTCCCTCAGGGGCCCACCTCTCCCTGGCCCCAGCAGGCACAGGAAAACCAGCCTCCCCTCTGAAAGGACCTCATAGCCAAGAACCAGGTGCAAGACACCAGAGCCCTAAACAGAGCTGGCAGCTGCCACCACAGCCCTGCTCCTGTGGGGGCATTGCCTGGGGGAGGTTGTGTGTGTGGAGGTTGGGAGGGGCTGCAGCCCCCTGTGGAAAAGGACCCCTCCCTTCCCTCCTACTGATTCTGCTTTCAGCCATTGCTGTGTTTGCTGAGCCCCAAATAGGTGCCAGACACTGAAACCTGGGGCTGGAGATGCCAGAGGCTGTCACTGTCCCCAGGAGGGTTTGGTTCAGGAGATGGTTTGAGAGGGCTGGGTGGAACATGGTCTCCAGGTAGCCCTGTCTGTGACCATGCACTGTCACGCTCCATCATTTTTCATATGCACCCCCCACCACACATTTTCTAGGGTGAGGGGCACAGCTCCCAGACTAGGATGCCACCCAGTAGCCCAGCTTTCTGGCTTCCTAGCTGAGTAGCCTTGGGAAAGTCACTTACCCTCTCTGAACCTCCGTTTCCCCATCTGTAAGTTGGGAACAATAACAGTACCTGTTCGTACCCAAGCCTGCCTCGAGTACAGGGTTTTAGAGTTTCAGATATGAGGGCATGTGGCAGGGACCTGCCACACTGCTGGTGTCAAGACCAGTGCCTGAGCTGGAGGCTGCCCCACGGGCCAGGGGTGAGCCAACTCTACCACCTCCTCCTTCCTGGGATGGGAGGGGAGGGCAGGGAGAAAGTTCCCCTCAAATGACCCAGGCTCCAAGGTGGATGACTGCCACTTCCTCACGCTAAGCCCCCGTGACCTAAAATGATCTGCAAGTCACTCTGCTTCCAAATAGAGCCGAAAGAACACAGAATGTATCCAGCGCATCGGGAACGCCACCCGAGCCCACGGCTGCTCGTCCTGGTTTGAACCTCCCGATCCTCTCGGCTGCATCTCCACATCTAAGTGGCTGGCGTCACACCTGCTGGCAGTTCCCTGGCTGAGATGTCACTCATCCCTGCTGGCTTTGCTCTCAGCTCTCTGGCCCGAGTTCAGGATGTCAGAACATTCAGGTTCCCCTCCACTTCTTGTTTTGCTCCTCAAGTCACATCCATCCTCGTCCCTGCCTGGGGGCTGGTGTGGGTGTTGCTGGTTTGGAACAGGCACCTCTTCGGGTCACCTGAGGGGAGAGCGGTGTATCCAAAGAGCATGCGTTTGACCTGCCTCAGACATTGCTGCCTAACAGCAGCCTTTCAGAACTCCGTGGGCTGGGGTTTGAGTCTCTGCTCCATAACTTCCTGCAACACCGGGTTAGTTAGGAATCAGCTTGGTCGAACCTCACTGTACGGCATCTGCAGTACTTAGATCATCAATACTTAGAGCCATTACATGTAGTCAATGCAACCTATTAGGACTGTGCACCTACTGTGTGCAGGCTCTGGACTTAGAAGCATCATTTGCAGTGAGGACAAACTCTGGTTTATTCACTTGAGTGTTTGTAACAAGATCTTTCGATGCTCTTACCTAGCACTTCCTCCAAGTGTTAAGGGACGTTCCCAAGCCTGCCTCGAGTACAGGTCTTTAGAGTTTCCGATATGAATGAGACCCAGGCCCTCTTGAGCTCTTTTAAAGAGGATCCACAGCGTCTGCACACTCCACTGATGTGGCGTTCACATCACCAAATGGTGCCTTTTCCCATCTGCGTAAGCTACAGCAGCCCAGGCCGCAGTGGTGCTGGGTCTGCTGGGCCGGGCTGGACCACCGGAGCCCGGGTGCTGCTCGCTTCAACCAGCAGAGGGCGCTCAATGGGCTCCCCCACCGGTCTCCACCGGGCCACGAGTGTGGGAATCACAGAGCTTGGCCAGCAGGGGGCGCACCGGCCTGTCCCGCGCCTAGTGGAGCCGCTGGAGGGGCAGCAGCCGCCTATCCACCAGCCCAGATGGTCTTACGTGTGCCTGTTGGTTCCCTTTTCAGGACTGGGGCGGTGACAACTGGCCTCTTATCAACCTCTCCCGACACCCACTGTCTCTCTGGCTCCAGTGAACGCAATTCCACAGCTTGATCGCACGACACCCAGAATCTAAGGTCTGTCCAGCTGGATTCCAGCTCCTGCTGCCAGACATTCACTAGCTCTGCATCAGGCGGAGCTTTACCAAGCAGTTCCCAGGGTGATTTCTTTAATCCTAACTCCTCAGGTTGTCCTAGCTCTCCACTTCCACCTTCCACAGCCTCAACTCCCCCCTCGCAGGATTTGGGATGAGGGTAGGGGAAAAGGGAAGGGCGGAAAAATTTTTCCCTGCCCGGCATCCTTGGTTCTCTGGAGTGACTTTGCCGATGATTTAAGATGGCTCTTTTTAATTTTTTGTACCAGGGATGGAACCCAGGGGTGCTTAACCACTGAACCACATTCCCAGCCCTTTTTATTGTCTACTTTGAAATAGGGTCTTGCTAAGTTGCTTAGGGCCTTGCCAAATTGCTGAGGCTGGCCTTAAACTTATGATCCTCCCGACTCAGCCTCCCCAACTCCTGGGATTACAGGTGTGTGCCACCACACTCAGATGGCCTGCAGGCATGGGGCCCATCCAGCCTCTGAGTCCCCAGAGTCCAGGACTCACATGTCCCTGTCTGCAGATGGCTCCTTGAAGCCCCTGTCATCAGCCTGTGGGTTGAGGAGGCTCTCCAACCATGTCTCCCCTGGGGGCAGCCTCCAACAACTGCCTCCGTGGAAAGCCCTCTGCCCCCAGCTGCTTCTGGGGACACCTCTCTTGTGTCTGCCGAGAACAGGAGGCACAAGCTTCCTCAGTGTTCCGAGAGGAGTCCTTAACTACTTCATTTGTAAGAACTGTTTTAGATGGTCTAGCACCTTATTTTAGAATGTGGACACAGCGAGCATTTTCATTTCTGGCTGAAATGAAACCAGAAAAATCTGCCTCAAAACAATGACAAAATCTTTTTTTAAATTTTGAAAATAATTTTAGGCTTAGAGAAAAGTTGCAAAAATGATCCAAAAAATTCCCTGAATGTTATTTTTTCATTCTCTCTCCCTGAAACTTTCCTGATTTTCTGAACTGGTTTTTAGTAAAACCACAGAATTAATGACCTTTTGTTCCCAAACCCTTCAGCCTGGTTTCTGAAAAACAAGGACTCTCTTCCATAACTCTGTAGTGCATTGATAAAAGCCAGGAAATTAATGTCGATACAGTCCCTTTAGCTCATCTATAGATTTCTTCAGATCCGCATTCGTCTGGTTAAAGTCCTTTGCAGCGAGAGAAGAAAAGACTAGAAGCAGCGAGGATCCAACCAGGACCCAAGCACTCAGCTGTCCGGTCCTTCATCTGGAACACCTTCTCTTTCTTTCTCTTTCATCTTCAAAGAGTACACGTGTTTCGTTTTGTAGACAATCCCCTCAACATGGGATTGCCTGATATGTCCTCAGAACTAGATTCCTGACATGCCACAGAAGTGGTGCTGTGTTCTCAGTGCACCATATTGGGAAGAACCTGATGTCAGCTGGTCCCATTATTTGTGAGGTGAAGGCGGATTGCCCAGGTGAGGTGCTGTCTGTACGATGTGCTGTCTGAGCTGTACGATGATTCTTTTCCCCTTTGAATTAATCAGTATCCTATGAAAAGGGGCAGTGAGACTATGTTAATATTCTGTTTCTCATCAAACTAATTTATCTCCTCGTTAATTTCAGTATTCGTTGACTATTCATGCCTGAAATAACCATGACTATGCAGAATGCCAA